TGTATTGGCAGTTACGTAATTTCAGTTTTGACCAATTTTGATGTGTTCTGCAGCTTGATGAGTGGTGGGAGCAACCAGCCTCAACTGTTGTTGACTGGGTTACAGTTGATGGTCAAAACGTTGGTGCTTGGCTTAATCACGTGAAGCAGCTTCTTGCATTTTATGACAAGGAACTGTTATAAGTGGTTGTGATAATCCTCAGTGGACCAACTTCGTTACATTTTTCTTCTCCACTAGCCACTTGCAAATCCCAAGTTTCGGCTAAGAGGTGTCTTGAAGCCTTGAACTAACAGATTTTGTGCAATTATACAGATATTAAGTTCTTGGAGACTGTGGGTCTGTGGGTAGAATCATCTCATTCCAAATCTGAGGTACAAGAAATATCTCCCTCCCACGCTCTGTTCCCCCCTCCCTTTTCTTCTCTCACCCTCCTTTTTGTACAGTATCTTATCCCCATGTACAAACTTTCTATCAGTTCTTACGTTGGGTTTACAACTTTACATGCCACTAAATGGCAGTGTATCTTTCACCTAATTCCTCTATTTAGGAGATCAGTGTTGCGTGATTTGTAATGTAAAGAATTGTACTTGTAGACCTCATTTTACTCTAATGCTAATGGAATGCCATTCTTTTTGTACTTACAATACTGAACACTTTTGCTCTCTGTTGTAAAGTGATCATAACTCTTATCACACATTTTCCTTTTTCTCTACATAAAGTCTTCTTTAAGCTATTGCTATTGACATTACTGCTGAAGGAATCCTGTGATGAGCAACTCATCATTCGCTGTTTACCAGAGGATTTTACAGCTGCTGCTGCTCCTGTGAAGTGTGAAGAACATGGCAACAGCTGAGCCAAGATAATCAACTGCAAGCTTTTTAATAACAGGTACTCTGTAATTTACATAATTCAAAGGGTATTTTGAACTGTCTTTTTTAGTTACAGATTGTCCTGGATTTTATCAGTAGTAGTACGAACTAGGGGGTACTATACCACTCTCGTATGATGTTAGAATGGAAGGGATTATCCATCTTCCACACTAGTAATAACAATGCATCATGTCAATGTATGATCTATGGACTGTGAGCAAGTTAAAGTTTATCTCGATGATTGTGCAGTAGGCCAGAGATATGAACAAATTAATTAGAATGACAGATGATGTTTTCTATCCTTTAAGATTGGAGTCTTTTAGTTCATGTAGTTAGTCTACTGTGCTATCTCTTGTGATATACGGTCATACGGAGTATATGGTGTTCAGTGAGCTTCTTATATTGGGGCGCTTATTTTGGACTGAGGTAGCCACTTAAGTCTTATCTTGCTCCCATCTTCATGTTAGTAAGGTGCTCATAGGCTAGAACTACATCACATCGCTCTATCATTTGGCCTTTTGCGTCTGTAGGGCTAAAAATTATGAACCATATTTTCTCCCTTGCGGCCCTACCCTTTGAAAACCGATATAAACTGGGTTGGCTGTGATGCAACCCAAGGTAGTCTTGCTATACAATTTCACATGTTGCCTTTATCTGAAAGACATGTCTATTTGAAATTGTGAGACACAATGTTGTACTCGTAAATTATTGGTTAGTTATAGATGTCGTAAGTATAGTTTTTATGTACTACGTAATTTTTTAAAATTTCCCACAAAATTTTATAGTTCTTCCGTTCACTTTTAGTTACAACACATTAATTTTCACACTTGTCAATGTATAATTTTAACTCTCCATATCTTTAATTAGAGATGATTAAAATAAGATTGTATGAAAATATAAATTGAAACCAATCTAACAAAGATTTTGCAAAATTATATCATGCCAACATATAAATCAACAAAGAAGGTCAAATGTAACAATGTGAATAGTGTAAATTTTCAAGTGTTAGCAATTAAAAGTGAATGAAGTATATTTTTTTAACATATTGGGCTAGGAGAGAATGTGTGAGGAAGGTTTTAATTTTTTTTCTTCTTATTAATCATAAATTATAATTAGAGAGTTGTCTTCTCTCAAGTTTAACACTAAGTTACAAATCCATTTAAGATATTTGGAAAAAATAATATAAATCCTTTCCTGGCGATTTGGATTTCGGAATTACATGATAATGAAGGAAGATATTGTTTATGATTAATTTTTAGTTATCTCATCATTTGGAGTCGTATAAATTTGTAATACAATGACATTTAGCATTTTATTAATTGACAAACGTCGTTTTTTGTGTAATTAATAAACAGAATATATTCGTTATCCTAAGGCAAAGATTATAGAATGTTCATGATCCAATAGAAAAAACAACATTGATATAGAAGAGCAGACATACTAGTACGTAAATTGTTATGTCGTGAGGTGCCACTAAATTCAACCCGTGAGTTTGTGAGATAAGGTGGGCAACTTTTTGGGACACCCGTGAACTAAGGAATTGGAAGCTCCCTTTTTACAAAATCAGCCTTTATTCTTGATCACTATCAAATGTTGTTACTAGAATTATGTTGTGATAAGTTTTCTTTTACTGATGTTTAATCGGTTTTAATGTATTCCATCAGCGATAACGATGATCAATTAATCATTAGGCACTTTGTACATTTTTGTAAATGGTACTTAGTATAAAGTATTAGTTTAGGAAGAAAATATCAAGTGTCGATCAGTGTTATTATACTTCAAAATTATATGTGAGGTAATTTTTTCTAAGAGAATCATTTTCTAGATTTTAAAGAGTTATATTACTTTATTTATTTTTATTTTTTTTTATGTGATGCTTTGAATTATTTTCTTTACCTAATCTTTACTTTATGTAAGCCTCATAAGTTACAACCACTATCAGGCATTAAATACATAAATCAATAGGGATTTACCCCTCTTCCACACAAAAAAAAAAATTAAAGAATTAAAAAAAAAAATAATGGTTGATTTGTGAAATTATTAGCTAGTTAGCTAGCTTGATTCTAAAAATTACTCCATGCACTTATTTAAAGGGAAGGGAGTAGATAAATAACCAAATATCATTTAATAAACCATAAATAGCAGTATGAATTTGTTGAAAGTACTTATGAAATGCCTCTTTTCATTAATATCATCTCTCTCTCTTTTAATTATACACAAACTTATGTTCTGATTGTGATTTAAATTTTTTTTTTTTTTATTTTGGAAAGATTCATTTTTCTTTTGACCGACCTTTGGATGATTATAGACTTTTTTATTTTTTTTTTATTTTTTTTAAAACTGGTTAGAGTATATTATATCATAGTGAGAGTGTCAACAAGTACATACGACTAAATTAGGATGTCTAAAAGGGCTGCTCTTTTTAGCTCTTACACATGTACAAAGTATTACAATACATAATTCTAAACGCCGACTTCAAATATATAATCTAATTGTAAGGGTTGTATCTCAAAATATTGTTTTTTTTATTTTTTGGGTCGAGCAACAACAATCTTGCATTATTTGCTCGAGGAATAATGTCATGTTAAATTATCACAAAAAGACGCACAACAAAAAATTGAGCCACACAATCTTCGTACGTAAATTTACTTATCATTTCCCCACCCAATTCAGCAATCGGTGCATACTTATGTTAGAGCATGTCGTATGTTTAGTTTTTTACCAATATAAAATTTGTGGTGCTTGAGATACGTATTTAGAATCACACAAATAATCAGTAATATTCTGCATAAACTGAAAACAAGATTTTTATTTCAGCAAAATGCCACAAGAATTGAAGATGTTTTTCTAGCTTTTGTAATAACTACGTAGTAAATACCAAAATCAAATAAAGAAGTGACTGATTGTCTGCCTTAGGGTGGTCTAATGGTTTTCTATGCGTGTTCTTTGCCCTTTTCCTTAAAGAAGATAAGAATTATCTAAAAATGGATTCTTATCCACCATATATTTGTGTACCTTTATTTTGATCTATATCCTCGATTTTAATTATGTTATCTACTACAGAGTAGAACGTAATGCAAAGTATGCTAATTGGTTAAGGTCTATACAAACAAATGTTTGTGTAACATGTTCGGCTTACCTCTTTCTTTATTTTGCGATGATAAGTAGAAATTCATTTTATTTAAATGAAATGGTGCATATAAGCTCAAGACTCCAAAACATATTCGGATTATTCATAAAATACCTCGATAAAAAAATACATCATATATCTATATAAAATTCAAGATGAACAATCGACTTACCTATTTCTATATCTTATAGACTTTAGCAAAGAGAAATTTGTTTCTGTATTTAGAAATCAAAATGTCTTTAGGGGTGATACCTAAGATCGGGATATATATTTGTCTACACTCCTATTCTATTTAGTTTGGACTATAACAAGCAGAGAATTTAATATTTTTCTGGCCTCTGATCGTATTTCGTTCAAACAAAAGCTTACTGTATTATATTTGTACACGTACGTTACAACCTCAGCCTCAACTAGATATCCATTCACTGCATCACATATATTTGATGCTATAAACCTACAAAGGAGAAATTCAGAGTTGTACAACAGTAATGAAAAAGAAGATACATGGAAGAAGTGCATTATGAATGACTACTGACTAGTGCAAAAGAGGGAACAAACTGATTTAATGTAAAGTACGTGTGAATGTGGCCTGGGATAACCAGATAATCTGCTCATTGATTCCTAAATTAATATAGAGTGTAATGTAACAACTTTTTCCGGACATTCTAAAATAGTACATATGACTAGCTGTTATCTCGAGGGATGGAGTAAACAACATTGGAGGATCGGAAAAACAAAATAATGAAAAAATGGTGAATTGAAGTAATGCTCTAATCAATCTAATCACCATAGCTTTTTTAACCTACAAGTCCCAAGTCAAAACTCATGAAATATGTGGTTTACTCAACTTATCTCGTGAACCAACTGGGATTTCTACCTATTGCAATGTACACCACCAATAAAAGAACTACTAACTTTCAGTAAAATGTAGCATGTAGTAAAACCTACATAATTCCAAATAATAAAATAAAATAAAATAGGAATTAAAAAAATATGAGGAGCATGATTTACTGTAGCATTAACAGCATCTAGTTTGTAGTTGACTGGCCTCAGCATGAATAACATAAATAGATGACACTTGCTCTTTCATTCTCTATAAGTTTAGAAGCTCCTCTTTTATCATTATAAATATAAAAAGCATAGCTTAAGGGAAAAAAAAAGCTGAAGCTTTATGTTATAAGTTACTTTTAGTAGTAATAATACTTGGTTTCAGAAGAAGTGGTTTAATTTTATGATGAGAGGGCTCAGAAATTGGTGTCCCTTCTCATTTGTTATAATATTGATTCTCTCTGTTACATGCTGCTCAGAAGCAAGGCATCATCATCAGAAGCCTTCTGCAGTTGTAGTTGGTGCTGTTTTTTGTGATACTTGCTTTCAAGATGACCTTTCCAAAGCTGGCAGCCATCACATCTCAGGTTCTTTACTAATCCTTTCATTTGATCCTATAATTTGGTCTATTTCTCGAGATGCTTAGAGTCCGGTTGATTGTTTAACAGTTGAGCACGGCCTTAAAAGTAATTTTAACAATAGTTAGTTCATCAAGAGTATTTACTATTTAAAGACATTTCGCCCCCTGTTAGTTGCTCGACCACATAGACTTTTTCATATGTTTTAGGCTGCATTTTATTTACTTTGGAGAAGAAATTTGAGTTCAAAGACTATGTTTATGTTTCTCTCTTACGTTCCCTCTTTTAAACAAAACTCTGTATGTCCAGGACTTCATAATCATATCATGGCGAGTTTTAATGCTTTGTTCGTTTAGCTGTGTCACGGTCCATTTTTGGAAGTCACAGAGCTGAGGCACCTTTGGTTATGGACCTTATGGTGCCTATCTTGAAAATTTTGGGGCACAAATCATTCCAATGTTGATGTTTTGATTCTTTATTTTTCGGTAATAATAAAAGGACAAAAAGGGTGGGAAAACAATGTTCTGAGTTATAATGAATTGTTTAAAAGTAACATGGCCTAGAGAAGACAGGTGCATTATTAGGCAATAAGCAGCCAAATCAGACTTTTAAGTTTGTGTAAATACAACTCTTTCTGCAGTTGTATGTTTCTACTAATTTATTTCTTTCCAATGCATTAAGATAAAGAAAAAAAACATTAACCCTGCATTATTTCTGAAATTTGGTATTTTCAGGTGCAACTGTTGCAGTAGAATGTGCACAAGGGAGTTCAAGGCCAGCATTTTACCAAGAGGTGAAAACTGATAAACAGGGCAATTTTAAGGTGCAGCTACCCTTCGCAGTCAGCAAACATGTCAACAAGATTGAAGGTTGTACCGTGAAGCTGGTTAAGAGCAGCGAGCCATACTGTGCTGTGGCCTCGACTGCTACTTCATCTTCGATTCATCTGAAGAACCGAAAGGGAAGGAAGCACATCTTTTCTGCTGGTTTCTTCTCTTTCAAACCACTTAAACAACCCGGCTTATGTAACCAACAACGGTCTCAGTTGAATTCTCTTGAAGGCTTACTAAACCCTCAATACCCAACTATTCCAAGCATAAACCCTCAAATTCCTACTCCAACCCCTGAAAATCCTACACCAAACCCTCCTACATCAACTAACCCAAACACACCTATCATGCCAAATTTGCCTAACCTTCCACCACTTCCATCCCTCCCACCACTTCCTAAACTCCCCTCGTTCCCACTCTTACCGCCTTTCCCAACTACAACTCCTAATACATCCGTGGGGCCTTACAAGGACAACAAGGTGGATAATGGTTTAGTGAGACAACCACAACAGATTTTCCCTCCAATTATTCCACCAGTATTACCTTCCCCACAGGGTCCTATCCCATTACCACCCAATCCACTTCAGCCAGCACCTCTGTTGCCGAACCCCTTACAGCCACCGACTCCACCACTCATCCCAAACCCATTACAGCCCCCGACACCACCAGGTTTACTGCCTCCAACTCCTCCCTTGCCCTTTATACCACCAGTTCCTGGATTGACTCCTACACCCTCACCACCAAGTTTACTGCCTCCAACACCTCCCTTGCCCTTTATACCACCAGTTCCTGGATTGACTCCTACACCCTCATTATCACCACCAAGTTTACTGCCTCCAACACCTCCCTTGCCTTTTATACCACCAGTTCCTGGATTGACTCCCACACCCTCACCACCTCCACCCGCATCTTCGTTTCCTCTTCCTCCGATCATCCCATTGCCACCCACGCCACTCTTCCCTGGCATTCCCCCGGTTAAGACGAAGAAAGTGAACCCTTGAAAAACTATTAGCTAGCATGTACAATTCTTGTAATCCATATCTACTACTACTATCATTTCCATCCCTGCTTTCTCTTTTACAAGGAGGGGAAAACAAAGATTTGGCCTACTTCACAATTCACATTATCACATATATAGGTCTGTAAGACTGTATCATGTTTTCTTACTCAAAGTTAGCATGTTTTTGTTCAAATTATTATTATGTCCATCTTTGATGCTTGTGTTATTTTTGAATAATTTGATCATTTTAATGGTTGATGAACAAATTTTTGTAAGAAAAATTAATAAGTCGTTAAAGTTGTGAGTAGAATGTTAATGGAAGGGCAACTGTTTTAGCAAGCCCAAAAGTCCAACACGTTTAGTACGGCATGATGTGGGTTTTGAATTTGGATTGTGAAGAAACAAGTAAATGAGGAAAAAGTGGTTCATGAAGCAAGGGCAGCCTAGTCCGTGGCCTACCAGATCGGGTCCAAGTGTTTTTTTCTGGTTGTTACTCAATTTCATTAGCTTGGTTGATATAGGATTCTATTAATTCGATCTAGTTATTATAACTATATCTTATTTATTTGAATTTAGTCTAGGAAAATAATTATATAGTTTCCTACTCACTTAATATTTAAAGGGCTATCAGGACTCTATAGTAATCTATATAACGGGTAGTTTTCATCTTTTGTATGCATAACAATAGAGAAAGATCACATCATCACAAACACTAGGCTTATACTAGTACATTATATGATCACATAATTTATCATTTTCATTCCATTGCCTTATTTGTTAAATAGTAGAAAAATACTAATAATGTGTTCGGACTGCCAAATCATTATCAGGCAAATAGTCGTGCTTAATTATCGAAAAACCTTAAGCTGTAAGTCAAGACATATCCTAAACTTGAAGGAAAAATTTATCTAGTTTGTTAAATTTTATATCTAGCTTCTAGAATTAAAACTCAAATAACGTCGGTTTATATTACCAAAATCTATAACATATTGATACAATTTTATCTAGTATATAATATTTTTGTTAAGATATGTATTAACAAATTAAGTGAAACTAGATGAAACCCGTGAGATGCACGGTTTGTTTGTATTTTCTTACAACTTATATTTTTTTTCCTATGTTTGTGATAAAATTTGTTACTTTATTTATTCATTGTACGTAGTATATTATATTATTATTTAATATTTTTATTTTATTTACTTTAAAATAAATTGTGAATTTTCTCTCATTCGTTATATATTTAGATGAAATTCCTAATATCAAAAGATAATATTTTATATTTATTAGTTTAAACTTTAAAATTTCATTCGCCAATTTTATTTTGTTAATGTAGAACTTAATCTTTAAGACGAATAAATGATAAATGATGAACATTTTTTTTTTCAAGAAAAAGAGAAAGGATATATTTTTAATTTCAATGATTTTTTTTTTATTTAATTTAAAACTTTTTTTTTTGGAGAGAAAACTGATATGTTTTTTAATTAAATGTGATTTTATTTTTTTTATCAGTATATTTTTATAAAATATTTTATTATAATCACTTGTCATATTTTCATTATTTTTTTTATCTAATCCAATTTTTTTAAATATCAATTGAATGTGAATTCCATTTTTTTTAAGTTTAATAGTATTTTTTTTATATATACGAAATAAAATAAATTGTTATGTTCTCTTAGATTAAACTTCCAATTAAAAAGATAGTATTTTATTTTTATAATAAATTTGAATTTTTAATTTTAATCTTACGTGGTGCTTTAAAATGACAATCCTACGTGGTATAATCCTATACGTAATGCTCTAAAAATTCTAATCTTACATGGCGCTCTAATAACTTTTTAAAAAACAAAGTTATAGGTGGCTCCCTAAAATTTTGGGAAAAAACTACCCTTTATATAGTTTAACGTGATTTCATTTATTATATTAGTATATTTTTATAAAATATTTTATTATAATCACTTGTCACATTTTCATTATTTTTTATAAATATCAATTGAACGTGAATTTCATTTTTTAAAGTTTAATAGTATTTTTTATATATATATACGAAGTAAAATAAATTGTTTCTTTTCTCTTAGATAAAATTTCCAATTTAAAAAGATAATATTTTATTTTTATAATAAATTTAAATTTTTTAATTTTAATCTTACGTGGCGCTTTAAAATAACAATCCTACGTGGCATAATCCTATAAGTAACGCTTAAAAATACTAATCTTACATGGCATTCTAATAATTTTGTAAAAATAAAAATCCTAGGTGGCTCTCTAAAATATTGGGAAAAAACTCCCTTTTATATATATATATATATATATTTTTTTTTTTTTTTTTTTTTTTTTATATATATATATAACTAGATTTAACCTCGTGTGTTGCACTGATTTTTTATATATTATTTTGTATATTTGTTGTGATCTCTTAATCTCTTTTATATAAATTTTTAAAGAAAACAAAGTTTTTTCTTGCATAGTTATAATTCCAGTGTCGCGTGCAGGAGACACTATTCTTGCAGTACTCCAACAGCAATACACATCCGAATGTATTTATATTATCTATGAAAATTTCATCTCATTTATCGGATATTTGGATAAACTATTTATACTAAAAGATAATTTTTTATTTTTTTAAATAATTTAAATTCTAATATGAATATCAAAATATATTTTTTAGTTTTTTAAAAAAGGAAAAATTATCTAGAATAATAACCCAACCTAGATTTGAATTTATTGTCTTTTTTCCAAATTTCAATAAATTTGATAAATAGTATATTGGTAATCTTATTTTTTTTTCTAGTCGTTCTTACTTTCAATTGAATTTTAATCATTTAAAATCAATCTTATTTGTAATTCTTTATAATAGTCTTAACTAAAATATATATCCTTTCAAATAATAATAATAATAATAATAATAATAATAATAATAATAATAATAATAATAATAATAATAAACCTACAACATTTCTTAAACATATATCTAAATAAACATGCCAATATTCGTTAAACTACCATAAAATATAAACTCATGCACAAACCAACAAAATTTGACTGGCTTTTCAGGTTGATGAGTTGAATATTAGCGATGATTTGAGGTTAATCAAACTTGCATTTTTTTAAAATGGGTTGAATCGTGCTACCGAGGCAAGCTATTTATGATCACCTCTAATGGACATACATACATCTTATAAATAAAATAAATCATTCCTTACAAAAATTACTTTATAAAGAGTGGTTGGAATTATTTTATAAAGAGTAGCTTAGTATAACCGTGCATTACATGGAACCTAATCTAGTTCTATACAAAGGGATCATATGAGTTTTCATCTTTTGTATGCATTACAATAGAGAAAGATCACAAACACTAGGCTTATACTAGTACATTATAATATTGTGTTGGGACTGCTAAAGTACCATTATCGGGCAAATAGCCGTGCTTAATCATCGAAAAAAAACCTAAAGCCGTGGACTTGGAAAACAAGTCATCAAGACGTATCCTAAACTTGAATGAAAATTAGTTTGTTAGACTTTATATCTAGCTTCTAGGATCAAAACTCAAATACGTCGTATATATATATTACATTATTACCATAATCTTAAAGATATTGATACAATTTTATCTAGTATATATCAGGAGCTTATCAAAGAATTAGTTGGATAGATTTGACATATATAGAATCAAAAGAGTAGGTCATCCGTATCACTGGGTATATATATCCTCTGCCTTCAACAAACACATACTTCATATTATAAAGTTTAGACTAACAAAAGTTTTTATGGCTATGAATATGAAGAGGAGAAAAACAGAACTAGAAGATTTAAGGGATGAGACCTTGATGGAGATTCTTGCTCGAGTACCGGTGAGATCAGCCCATCAATGTAAGCTGGTCTCGAAGCGTTGGCTTGCGTTGATTTCTAGTCCTTACTTTGTTGGCTGCCATCGACGACAACATCAAGATAATCATCATCTACATCATTTCACTTATTGTACCAGTGATTTTAATATCAATAATTATATTCCCTCTAATCCCGTCCAAGCATTACCTAAGAGCGACCCCGTAATATCATTACTTAATAAAAAAATGGCCTTCGAATAGTCGTATATTTTGTGTATCTAATGATTTACTCTTGACAGTGTCGAATTGTGATGTTGGAGCTCCCTTAAATCTAAGCGTATCGAACTAGGGCCGAGCAAAATTATCCGAAAAATCCAAAACTCGAAACGTAATCGAACCAAAAATTAGGGTATCCGTTCCGATAACCATAACGGTTCGGGTATACGATCCGATAATTTGTTATCGGGTACGGTTATTGGGTATCATTTTAAAATTAACGGTTACCCGATCTGATCCAATAATTTTATTTTTTAATTTTTTCCTATTTAAATCTATTTATCCAAAATCTAAACTCTTACTTTACTTCATAATCACTTCATAATTTAAATGGTTAGTAATATTATTAGTAATTTGATCATGATCATGTGGTATTATTGTTAATTAGTGTGGAATGATATCATAACAACTAGATGGAAAAATTAGAAATAATAATCTCAACTTTGCTGGATTTTCCTTTAATAATCCTAACTTTGGATTATTCTGGAATAAACCAAGCTTTGGGGGTTGTTTACTTACTTCAATTCCAAACCGGTCAATGAAAGTCAATGACCTATTATATCAGGTCACTTGACATGTGTCAAGTCCTGATTGGTCCAAAAAATAAAAATAAAAAAAACACCAAAAAAAAAAAACACCAGCCCCTTCCCTTTCCCCCACCCCCAACCCTGCTGCCCAGCCTGCCACCCCTCCCTCGCCGACCCATCGCCTCTTCCCCACACCTAGCGTCACCGGTTTCCCCTCTCCCCGAAACCCACTCCCATTCCCCCACACAACCACCAAGAAAACTCCTCTTCCACTCTTAAAAACCCCAAACCGCCACCCTAGCCAACTCGCAATCGCAACAACGGCAACACGCCACCGCTAGCCAACTCGCAACCGCAACAAATTGCCACCAATTGCTCCTAGGTAGGGGTTAGGGTGGTTTCCCGTTTCCGTTTGAGGTGGTTTCAGGGTATGGGAGGGGGGTTGCGGATTCGAAGGATGGGAAGGGGTTGTGATATACCGGCGTGGGTAGAGAGGGGGTGGGGGAAGGGAAGGGTAGCGGCGGCCGGACGGCCGTCATTCGGCCGGCATCGGGTGTCAGTGATTGGGTGGCCAGCGTCGGGCGTCAGGGTTGAGGTTTGGTTGGTGGGTTTTTTTTAATTTTGTTTTTTTTTCTTCTCAAATTCAATTTTTTTGTTTTTTTTTTAATTTTTTCTATCCAATTATGTTGCGACATGTGTCATATAAAGAAAAAATAAAAAAAATTACTCGTTCAACAGGTAACCAGTATTTGGGATTGAAGAAAATCAACAGCCTCCAAAGTTCGGATTATTCACTTTAAAGTTGGGATTATTGAAACAAAATAGGTGAAAGTTGGGATTATTATTTCTAATCTTTCCTAACTACGGAGTAGATTATAAAGTCTAAATTTTCATTATTGGATAGCATATTGAATACTCGATAACTGATCCGAAAATCCGAGTACCTAAACTTATCAGTTCGGTTAATGGATATCATATTTAGTATTATTGGTTATTGGGTACCCAAACTGATAGTGTTAACAGTACGAGTATCTGACCCATGCTCACCCCTATATCGAACCCTTTAACTAAGCAATCTTATAGGCTCCCCGAACCTCCGTCTTTTTTCTTGGATAAGCGGCCTTCAATTGATTTCAGTGGCATTATACGTAGCGTTGACGATCCTGCCCATTATAAAGTGGTGCTTGTAAAGGACTCTCCGCCCCTAGTTAGGCGTGGAGGTAGCATTGTAAGAAGTAGTGAATTTCTCAAGTTTTATGTCTTCTCTTCCGATACTAGCAGTTGGTGTAACTTTCTTGTGCCTGCTCCACCAAACTTCCTTACGGAGACCATTTTAGATGCAGCAATTGGTCTATACCCCACCGCGTTGGATGGTGCGCTTTATTGGTGCATCAACATGATCATGGTATATAATCTCTTCGATAATGTCGATTCCCAACACTGCGACTTTATCCATCTTCCTCAAGAAGCTAAAAATTCAGCAGATGATCTCCGTAATCTCCATAGTTTATGCATAGCAAATATTGAACAACGCCTGTGGCTTTATCATTGGAGCTTTGTGACCGCCTTTACTCAAACACTCACCGTCTGGGATTTGAAGGACGACCGTACTTGGAATATAAAGCACTTTGTGGATCTTACGAGTATTAATTGGCGCTGTAAACACTCACCGTCAGATGTGAACGTGTCTATCAAAGGTTTCGATCCTTATGATGGAGACGTGCTATACGTTTTTTCTAAGGATGACCGTCTACTCTCCGTGAACCTGAGAAGCAAGACTGTGCAACTAGTCTTCCACTTCAAGTCCACTGTATTTCCAGTGATGCCACACTTCAGATTGTTTCCTTATTTTCCACCTTTCTGGCCAACCCCTATCATCAAGAGTATTGTTGCTACTGCAGCGCTGTGATTATACACTTTCGACATCATATTCCATTTATATACCAAGTATTTTGTTTTTTACGCCCTCTTGTCAAACTAAATAAAGATTGTTCCTATTATACTACATAGTGTGATTTTTCATGAAACTGAATTTGCTGCCCTTTGAGGCTTCAAAATTTCAAGTCTTAATGTTTAATCTTTTAATTTTTGAAAGAATAGTATACACTCGAGCAACCTCACTTAAATAATCTCTCAGCCAGAGTTCAGCTACAGCGTAGCTAAACAACAGCTGCAGAGCTCCCCACCAGAACAAAGCCTTGCACAGAAGCTGTAATACAGCAGCACATAATCGGATCCAAAAGTAACGCATTCTCTGTGTTGCTCTAGCAACATAAGATGTCTTCCTAGAAAATAATTAGATCCATAAAGGTCACATAGTGATTTTTACTGTACTTTTATTCAACCTCTTCTTTTGCTTGGAGAAAGATAAGGAAAACACAGGTTTGCTAGCACGAACCATTAGTTACATACTACAAAGTTCTAGCCCTGTAGGTATGTGGTGCAAGCCTCTAAATGAGATGCACACAAACAACTTAATGTCTCAATTTAGCAAGATTTTCCCTCCAAAGTACGATCAGATCATATTCACAACTTTTCAGTGACGAACTCCTTGGGATCTCATAACTTTAATCCTTTTAAATCATTTAATATTGACAATATATATTACGGCTCTTTCAGCAAATGCCAATGAGCACTTTAATAATTCACCAAATGCCCTTAAGGTTTTCAAAATTCACCAAATGCCATCGAGTTTTTAATAAATTCACCGAGTGCCATTAATGACTAACGGCCGTTAACTCTGTTAGTCATTAGGATTAAATCATGACACATGTCATGATATGATTAATTCATTTTAATTAATAAAAACAACTTTTTTTCTCGATTTTCACGACGAAAATTGTTCGCGTAAAATTTTGGGGGTTATTTTAGCCCTTTATGATTTCAAATTAAGCTCGGAATTGGCAAAAAAATAACGTAAATGCCCCGTTTTGTGTGTAAAAAATATCTCAATTAGCGAGTCATTATTTTTTAACCATGAAAATTGATCGGGTTAGGTTTTGGAGGTCATTTTGACCCTTTATGAAGTCAAATTAAGCTCGGAATTGGCAAAAAATAACATAAATGCTTCGTTTTGTGTGTCGAGAAATATCTCAATTTACGTGTCGGTTTTTTTAACTATGTAAATTGTCCAGATGAGGTTTTGGCGGTCATTTGAGGCCTTTATGGAATCAAAATAAGCTCGGAATTAGCAAAAAAATAATGTAAATGTCCTGTTTTGCGTGTTAAGATCGTAATTTTTTTTACCTAAAAAATTGCAAAATTGAGCATTTACGTTAATTTTTTGCCAAATATGAGCTTAAATTAGATCTTTAAAGGATCAATATGACCCCCAAAACCTTACCCGGTCAATTTTAATGGTTAAAAAAAATGACACGCTAAAAGAGATATTTCTTGACACACAAAACGGGGCATTTACGTATTTTTTTGTCAATTCCGAGCTTCATTTGAATCCATAAAGGGTCAAATAGACTTCCAAAACCTTACCCGATCAATTTTCATGGTTAAAAAATAATGACTCGCTAATCGAGATATTTTTCGACACACAAAATGGGGCATTTTCGTTATTTTTTGCCAATTCCGAACTTAATTTGAACCCATAAAGGCTCTAAATACCCCCAAAATTTCACCCGAACAATTTTCGTCACGAAAATCAAGAAAAAAATGTTATTTTTATTAATTAAAATAAATGATTAAAATCAATCAATCATATCATGACATGTGTCATGATTTAAGCTAATGACTAACGGTCGTTAGACCGTTAGTCATTAATGACACTCGGTGAATTTTATAGAAACTCGGTGACATTGGTGAATTTTGAAATCCTTGATGGCATTTGGTGAATTATTAAAGTGTTTAGTGGCATTTGGTGAAATAAGTGTATAAAATGCAAACTCGAAATATTAATTAACAAGTAACATCCTCAAATTACTCAGCAGAATAGCCTGGCAACCAGACATCAGTCATGTTTTGAGTTTTTGTTAAGAATCGGATACAACTATCTAGGCAAATTTATTATTTCAGTTTAGGGGGTGGGGTGGGTGCATTAGTTGAAAAACTCTGCATCTAAGACTAAACAACATACATTTGATCACTTGAATTCGCCGAGGAGAGCACTGATCTTTGATACAATGTGAGCCTCATAGTCCTCCAGACGCGCAGCAACAGAATCATTTTCCCAGCGAAAAAGGGTTGGAACATCCTTGACCTGAAACCTCGAGTCTACCCTCCAAGGGTGCTGAGGGTTACTCCAAGTTGGTCTATCTCCTGCATAAGCTCTCAAAAGCACCACATCTTCTCCAAATTCTTTCAACTTCTTCAAAATCACTGGTTCAGCTGTCACACGATCTGCATTTAGTGCCACAACAATATAGATATAAGCATACGATTAATTAAGAGCTATGAAGTACTTCGTATTAATGATCAAAGACGTACATCGGACACGGGAAACGATTTAAGTGCAACCATCATTAACATCCAGTACCAACATTAAATAAAAAAAAAAAATATATTCTAGAATTACCAGGACACCAACTGAGATTAGTAGAAGGATCATTGTCACCCAAAAAGAGGATGAGATTAGCTTTGTTATTTGCAGCTTCTTCTTTGAACTTATCAAATACCCCATTGAAACTTGCTACTGTAGCATCCATTATCTTCAACCCCATTTTTTTCCTGATAATTTTCTGAGATTAATTAGAATAATGGCAGAAATTTTAAATTTTGAATTTGTATTTTAGAATGTCCCAAAACCCTAGAATTTCAATTAGTTAACACGAACAAGAGCCCTAAATTAATCAAACACTAGAATTTCATCAACTTTCAGGAATTAACAAACCAAAATCAAAGAGAATTATGCTTATTAAATGGTTTCAGTGAAATATTAATAAAAAGATGAAATCTTCAAAGGGTTAATTGCATGAATAAGCATTTACCTCTAGAAAAAACCAGAAATTGATTGTGAAATTGGGTGAATTTCCCAAGTAAATCTTCTGCAAAAAACCAAAATTGAGAATTTACGATTCAAAATCTTTTTTGTTTTTTCCCACCAGAGCTTTTCCCCTGTTTTTGTTCATTTTTCCTTTAAATCCGACAATAGATGGATTCGGAAATCTGGATATGAATCGGGACCCAAACTATGGAAAATACCGGCCCAAATGCTACACATTATAGACTTTGAACTTGAACTGGATGTTAGTTGTCGTAATAGCTACTTGTCTACTTTTATTACGAAGTTCATTAATTAATTTTTTTCCCCTGTTAGTTAATATGAATCTTTGATCATTAATATTTTGAATTACTAGGTTAAATCCGGCAATTTTTTTTTAAGAAATGTTTTGTACTTCATATAATCCTTGTATTCTCTTAATCGTTACGAGTACAAATTTGTTTTATAATAAATCTCTTAAGAGAAAGAGAAAAATATATGAGTAATAATTTTCGACTAATATCTGTATATACAAACACTAAACACTATTGGATTTCTGAATCATCCACATAAAATATCATAATTGTCATTGCCTATTACTATACTTTATACACCTTTAAATTGTTCTTAAAATCTTATACACTTTATACACTTTGAGAATGGGGATACCATACCCACCCCCCCTCCCCTCCTCACTCTCAAGGTATCGAGTTAGTATTCAAGCATGCCCAAAACTAACCTAAAATTTTGTTATTTTGCTAAAACATTGTGTTAATTTACGTAAACCAAGTGTTATTGTGTTATTTTGCGTAAACCTCAGCCTATGTTATTTTACTATAAACTTGTGTTATTTCACGCAAACCTTGTGTTATGTTGCTAAAATCATTTGTTATTTTGCTAAAAGCTTGTGTTATCTTACTTGAACTTTGTGTTAGTTTGCTTTAACCTTTTGTTATTTTTTCAAACATATGTTATTTTTACACAGCAATATGTTAATATCCTTCTCCGAAAAAAAAGCTCGATTAATTTTCAGTAATTAATTTCTACGTCGAATTTCGTCTGCAAATTCTCATAAATTTGTTCGATTTTTTTTCTCTTCTTTAAATTAAATCATCTTCATTCAAATTGTTGTTTAAATTTTATCAGATTCTCACAAATATGAAATGTTTAATTTGATTTTAGGGTTTTAATTTTTCTTATTTTGGTTTGAATTTGAACAATTAGCTCTTCAATTCAACAAAATTTCTTAATAATAGACTGATTTAAGAAGATATATCTTGAATGTTGCATATTAATTATGAGATTATTTGAGGAATTTTGAAAAAAAAAAAAGTAAGACAAAGCGAGGAAGAGCAGGAGAACAAAAATAAAGGAAGGATTTTTTTTTATTTATTTATTTATTTATTTATTTTTTATTTTAATTTGGCGATCATGGTACCCTACCATAGAAATGCCAAAAAAATAAATAAACAAACAAATAAAAAGAAAATCACAATGCCGAGACTTGCCAAGTACCATAGTTCGAAACCCTTCAAAAAAAAAAAAAAAAGTACCATAGTTCGAAAAAAGACGTGGACTTGGAAAACAAGTCAACATGTTTCCTAACCCAATAGCCATGCTATAACAATTGGGAAACCTGAATGAAAATTTTATCTGTCTTTTATCGATTTATATTACCACAAAAGATATTGGCAATTTTATGTACTAAATATAACTATATTAGGACTTTATCTTGGAGTTTTTCTGTTAGACTTGATATTTAGAATTAAAAGAGTCGGTGTAGTTGGTGGTATATATATACCCCTCCTGCCTTCAACAAAACACATACAACTATACAAGTATTATAAAGTTTAGACCAACAAAAATTACTTGGTAAAAATATGGCAATGAATATGAAGAGGAGAAAAACAGAATTAGAAGATTTAAATGATGAGACCTTAATGGAGATTTTTATTCGAGCACCAGTGAAATCAGCCCATCAATGTAAGCTCGTCTCGAAGCGTTGGCTCGCCTTGATTTCTAGTCCATGCTTTTTCCGTTGCCATGGACAACACTATAATGCATCTCAACGTCAAGGTAAACATCATCTACAACTTGTCAATTATCGTCGCATTAATGTTCCCTTTGATCCTTTTAATCTGAACGATAATGTTTTCTCTAGTTCCTTTACTCCGACGACTCGAACTATAGAGGTCCAGGCGTTACCTAAGAGCCAACCCTTAATATCCTTAGATTTCTTCAATCAACAATGACCTATGAACATAATATCGTGTGTATCAATGATTTTCTCTTGACAGTGTCAGATTTTGGCCTATTTACTCCCTCGTTATATCTAAACGTATCAAACCCCCTAACTAAGCAATCTTATAGACTCCCCAAACCTCCGTCTTGTCTCTTGTATAATCCTTTTACTGATTTCAATGGCATTATTGATTTCAATGGCATCGTATGTAGTGTTGATGATCCTGCCCATTACAAAGTGGTGCTTGTTAAGGGCACTCTGCACCTAGTTAGGCGCGGAGATAGCATTGAAAGATGTAGTGAGTTTTTGAATTGTTACGTCTTCTCTTCTGATACTAGCAGTTGGTGTAAATTTCTTGTGCACGCCCCATAAAACTTTGTTTCGGTGAGAATGGTAAATAAAGCAATTGGTCAATACATGACCACGTTGGATGGTGCGCTTTATTGGTGCACCAACATGATAATGGTATATAATCCATTCGACAAAGACAACCCCCAGCACTGCGATTTTATTCATCTTCCCCAAGAAGCTAAACTCGATGAGATGTACCGTAAGGAAATTTCACCAGTTGATCAACGTAGTTTATGCATAGCAAATGTTGAACAGCACCTGCGGCTTTATCATTGGAGCTACGTGACCGCCTCTACTCAAACACTCACCGTCTGTGATATGGAGAACTACACAAATGGTCATGACTGTACTTGGAATATAAAGCACTTTGTGGATCTTACAAGTATTAATTGGCTCTGTAACAATGTGTGCATGTCTATCAAAAGTTTTGATCCCTATGATGGAGACGTACTATACGTTTTTTCTAAGGAACTATGTCTCCTCTCTGTGAACCTGAGAAGCAAGACTCTGCAATTAGTCGCTGACTTCAAGTCCACTGTATCAACTCGCTCCCATGGTTCAGATTGTTTCATTATTGTCCACCTTTACATCCAACACCTATCACCAAGAGCTGAAGAGCATGGCTGCTACTGCTACTCTGGCACTACTGTGATTGCACTTTCAAGTTTCAACATGGTGTGGATTGAATTATTTTAAGGATTTTTTGACTTTTGCTACCACAAAAAGCCATCAGTTTCATTTTTGCTACCCCTTAAAAATTTTTATTTTATTTTACTACCACTAAAATTCACATATTTTAGAAGTTGATACCAATTGACGGAATCTGTTACATTTGCCGTTTGTGGGCCCCACTATAACGTTTCTTTTGTCAGTTTCTTGTGTATAAGTAATAGCTTTGAAGAACCCATCTTCTCCAAAGTTGACGAAGGACGAAATTTGTTGGAGTTGTTCAATCATAGATAGGGAAAACAAAGATAACCCATTTATATTTTCAATAAAAGTAAACTAATTAAGCAACACCCACATGAAAACTCATCACTAAGAGAATAACCCATTTGGATTTTTAGTAAAATTTCAAGAAATCAAACAATACCCAATTGAGAAATCATCAAATTATGCTCAATAGTACAAAAAGATTACAAATTTAAAGACAAAAAACTTGAACAATTACTCTAGAATTGGGTTCTGGAATCTCTGTGATGTCAATATCAGCAGGAAGCTTATCTTCCTTTTCGGCATTCGCGGTCGAAGACGTAGCAGAGGATGAAGCTGATAAATGGGTTGGAGCTTTGGGAAAATTGGTGTTGCAGGGCAGGGAATTGGCGGGAAGAAGGAGAAAAATGGAGGAATTTGTAGAGGGTGTTGGATTTGTTTAAGCGAAGAGGGTGGAAATTATTTGTAGGTAAGAAAGAGAAAGAAGAAGAACGAGTATGGAATGAAAGATTCATGGAAATTGCAGAATTTAGAGATGTAGAGAGATGGAGATGGTGACAGGAGAGAGACAAGAATTGAAGGAAAAAAAATTATTGCCTTCAATGGAGGTTGTTGAGAGCATTCAATGGAGACAAGCAACATTTAGGCAGAGCAAACGCTTCGAGGAGAGAGAAGAACAAAGGAACGTTGGTCAGTTAATTGCGTGGGGCCCACAAACGGCAAATGTAACAGACTCCGTCAACTGGTATCAACTTCTAAAAATATGTGAATTTTAGTGATAGTAAAATAAAATAAAAATTTTAAGGGGAAGCAAAAATGAAACCGATGGCTTTTTGTGGTAACAAAAGTCAAAATTTCTATTTTAATTTTTTAAAAGACATGCTAACTAAATAAAGACAGTGTGATTTCTCATAAATAACAAGTGTTTGATGATCAAGATAGTTGTTTGACTATGTGATAATATGTATGTGATACAGAGTAACTAGAACTTCTTGCAGGCTCTTTGCGGTGAAGATGTGAAAGTAGCAGAACCAAACTGAAAATTTAATGGCCTTTGAGGTTTCAGATATACAAAGTGTTTCAATGTTTAATCTTGCATTGATTTTAAACTTTGGAACTAATCTATAACTAATATTAAAGTAGCAACCACTGACATCATTCTTTTTTAAATTAAACACATGTCATGTTGTCATTAAAAATTTTCCTTCCAAAACTATAAATGATGTCATCATTTTATAAATTTAATTTTATTATATTAAAATTCTAATCAACTACGTTATTGTTAGTATCAAATTCTTAAAAACAATCTATTCTTTTTAACAATAATAATTTAATTTTTCTTCCTCGGTTACCCTTTTCATCATTCAATTCTATGATTCTATTTTTGGTAATATTTGATGTTCTATTTGTGTTCGGAATACTGTTTTTTAAAATTTTGGTATGAAAAAATAAACAAATTTAGAAAATTTTATTTGATCAAATCGTGCATCGCATGAGACTAATCTAGTAGTATATACTTGAGCAACCTCACTGAAATACTCTCAGCCAAAGTTCAGCAACAGCATTGCTAAACAACAGTTGCAGAGCTCCCCACCATAACAAAGCCTCACACGGAAGCTGTAATACTGTCAGCACACATTCAGATCCAAAAGTAACACATTATTTGTGTTGCTTTAGCAGCATAAGATGTCTTTCTAGAATTCTAGGAAAGTTAATAAATAAATCAACAAAGACCACATGGTAATTCTTAATATATTTTTATTCTACCTCCTCTTTCAAGGAAGCCATGTTTACATTTAAAAATTGGGTTAACTAGCACGAACCATGAGCCACATACTACTACAAAGTGATAGATGGTGCGAACCTCTAAATGAGATGCA